CTCCTTCTACGCATGTTAAGTCGACTGCCAAATCAATACCCAAGACTGAGGTTCCTCCTCCCGCCCCGGTTTCATCAGGTGCGGGCTCGCCATTCGAGGATCGTATTCGTGTCTTCAGTCAAAACAGGTTGCCTGCTCGGAAGTCGACGGGTTTTTTTAAATTGTTCTGGATTGCTTATAATGATAAGATTATTATATTGTTGACTATCGCCGCCGTTGTCTCATTATCCCTCGGGATATACGAGACCGTCGACGGAGGCACAGGCGTCGACTGGGTGGAAGGAGTAGCCATCTGCGTGGCAATCCTCATTGTCACAATTGTCACTGCAGCAAACGACTGGCAAAAGGAAAGACAATTCGCCAAACTCAACCAACGGGTTAGTACTACGCAGCCCTTCATCTGAACAGCAAATTCCAATCTAACACATATTCCAGAACAACGACCGCGAAGTAAAAGTCATCCGCTCCGGCAAATCAACAATGGTCTCCATATACGACATCCTAGTCGGCGATGTTCTCCACCTGGAACCTGGCGACGCAATCCCCGCCGACGGCGTCCTGGTAACAGGCCACGGCGTGAAATGCGACGAATCCTCTGCCACCGGCGAATCAGATGCAATGAAGAAAACACCTGGCCATGAAGTCTGGCAGCAGATAGTCGATGGGAGAGCTACCAAAAAACTGGATCCGTTCCTTATTTCCGGTAGTAAGGTGCTGGAGGGTGTTGGCACTTACTTGGTTACCAGTGTTGGGCCGTACTCTACTTATGGGCGGATTTTGCTTTCATTGCAGACTCCTAATGACCCTACGCCGCTTCAGGTTAAGCTTGGGAACTTGGCGGATTGGATTGGGTATCTTGGTACTGCGTGAGTCTTGGTCCTTTTTTTTGTTTATGAATTTGAGGCTTGGGGTATGGATTACTGACGGTTTATAGGGCTGCTGGTGTTTTGTTCTTTGTTCTTTTCTTCCGGTTTGTTGCTGATTTGCCTAATCATCCGGAGAAGAATGGAGCTATGAAGGGCAAGGAGTTTGTTGATATCCTTATTGTTGCTGTTACTGTTATTGTTGTTGCTATCCCGGGTAAGTTGTTACATCTCACCTGGCACTGTTGATTATAGGGCTTTACTAATCTGTCTTGCTTCTATAGAGGGTCTTCCATTGGCAGTGACATTGGCTTTGGCCTTTGCTACCACTCGAATGGTTAAGGAGAACAACCTTGTTCGTGTGCTTCGAGCTTGCGAGACAATGGGAAATGCTACTGTCATCTGCTCCGACAAGACAGGCACACTTACCCAGAACAAGATGACAGTCGTTGCTGGAACTTGGGGCTCGGATCAGAGCTTCAGCCAGTCAATTGATGGCGAAGAGGAAGATCTAAACTCGATGACCACATCTGAGATCTCTCAGCAACTCTCAGCCCCCATCCGAGACTTGATCATTAAGAGTGTTGCTTTAAACTCCACTGCCTTCGAGCAGGAAAAGGAAGGGGGTAAAGAATTCGTTGGTAGCAAGACCGAAGTCGCAATGCTCCAGCTAGCCCGTGATTACATGGGCATGGATCTTGTCTCGGAGCGTGGCTCTGCCGAAATCGTACAATTGATTCCCTTCGACTCTGCCAGGAAGTGTATGGGTGTCGTGTACCGTGTTCCTGGTTTGGGATACCGTCTCCTCGTTAAGGGAGCATCCGAATTGATGGTCCGCGTTTGCACTGCCCAAATCGCAAACATCGATTCCTCTAAAGAGAATATCGATGTTGAGCAGCTTTCCGACCAACAAAACCAGCATATTTTGGAACTCATCGATAATTATGCTCACAAGTCTCTTCGGACGATTGGTATGGTTTACAAGGACTTCGCTAGCTGGCCTCCCGCAGAGGCTAAGAGCCCTGAGGACCCTTCCTCCGCCAATTTCGAAGAAGTCTTCCATGGCATGACCTGGGTCGGCGTCGTGGGTATTCAAGACCCTCTACGCCCCGAGGTTCCTGCAGCCATTCGCAAATGCCACTCTGCAGGTGTGCAAGTCAAAATGGTGACGGGAGACAACGTCGCCACAGCCACAGCCATCGCGTCTTCCTGTGGAATCAAGACAGAAGATGGACTTGTGATGGAAGGACCCAAGTTCCGACAATTGACAGACGCGGAGATGGACGAAGTCATCCCCCGTCTGCAGGTTCTGGCACGGTCATCCCCGGAAGACAAGCGTATCTTGGTCGAACGACTCAAAGTGCTTGGCGAGACTGTCGCTGTTACTGGCGATGGTACCAATGACGGACCGGCTTTGCGAACTGCAGATGTCGGTTTCTCCATGGGTATTGCTGGTACTGAGGTCGCTAAGGAAGCGAGTTCGATCATCCTTCTCGATGATAATTTCCGGTCTATTGTTACGGCTATTTCTTGGGGCCGAGCTGTCAATGATGCCGTTGCCAAGTTTTTGCAGTTCCAGATTACGGTTAACATCACTGCTGTGGTGCTCACTTTCATTTCGTCTGTCTACAGCAGTGATAACACTAGTGTTTTGAATGCTGTGCAGTTGCTCTGGGTGAACCTGATCATGGATACGTTCGCTGCCTTAGCTCTGTAAGATCCCCTTCATGCATATATCTCAATCACGATTTTTTACTAACATATCAAAAATCCAGAGCAACAGATGCCCCCACAGAAAAGATCCTCGACCGCAAACCCGTCCCAAAACACGCTTCCCTCTTCACCCTCACAATGTGGAAGATGATCCTCGGCCAAGCCGTCTACCAACTGGCTGTGACATTCATGCTTTATTTCGCCGGCGACAAGCTCCTCAACGCCCACCTCAACTCAGACCCTAACCACCCGGAAATCCGCGAAAAGGAACTCGCAACAGTAGTATTCAACACGTTCGTGTGGATGCAGATCTTCAACGAATTTAACAATCGCCGCCTGGACAACAAATTCAATATCTTCGAAGGCATGTTGCGCAACTATTGGTTCCTGGGAATCAACGCCATCATGGTCGGCGGTCAGGTCATGATCGTCTACGTTGGTGGTCAGGCTTTCGGCGTTACCCGCTTGAGTGGTATTCTCTGGGGTGTGTGTATCATCTGCTCTATTGCTTGTCTGCCTTGGGCGGTTGTCCTGCGCATTATCCCTGATTACCATTTCGGAATTGTCTTCAATGCCGTTGTTGGTGGTATGACTTTTGTCCTGCGGCCTCTTTCTAAGGGTTGCAAGGTTCTTGGTCGGGGTATCAAGGCTTGCTTCCGGCCTGTAAAACGCCTTACTCGTCGTGTCTTCAGACGGAAGGTGGAAACTGAAGATGCATTGAATCCTCAGTCGTCCGAGTCTTCGGATCTTGAACAGGCTTCTGCTCGATTTGAATTGAGCAAGCAGAAGTCCCCTGAGCGTCCTATAACGCCCCCTGCTATTGCTGTTCCGCCTATTACGATTACTGCCTCTCCTTGATTGACATTTAGCGTTGGTGTTGTTGGCGTTTTTTGTTTACTTGCTTTTATTTTTCATGCTCTATCTGTATATAAGGTTAAATGATTGACTACTTAGAAGCGTGTATAGACACTACACTATGCACAGGGACTTTCTCGGACCTCAAAAATAGCAATATAGCGAGATTTATAGTACCATCTCAACAAAATATGAAAATTGACTCGATTTGACAAGACAACACTTTAATGTCTCTATAATTCCCATAATAAATAAGAAATGATATCCAGCCAGGCAGCTGGATTGAGGTCGGTTCTAGTTACATTGCTGCCTCAGGCCACCGCACCCATCAACCAAGTGTCCAGCTCCATCTCCCGACCCCCCAATTGACTGACTGTTCATTGCTCTCTCGACCTACCCCGGAACCTACTTGTGACCGTTGAATTGGCTCTCCTCTCCGTGCTCTCTTAAACGTCACTCTCTCTATCTCCATTCGATCCCATCCCACCAGACACTCCCACGTCACTAACCTCCCCGCTCCCCACCGCACCGCCATACCAAACAGAGCACCCTCCACAAACAGCCCTCCCCCGGACATCCCTCACCAAACGACCTCAACAGGCAAAGCCATAACAACCCTCTTCAAAAACCAATTCCTCTCTACGTCCACCTCCACCAAACCGCCATCATGTCCCAACTCAACTACCGCACCATCAACATCGACGCTCTGGACCCGGAGTCCTCAACCAACTTCCCCATGGACTCCCTCCTCCCCGCGAGCCTCCCCCAACCCGAGTCCGCCAGTGACGCCGCCAACGTCGCGACCCAGGTGCGCCAGCTGCTGCGCGGCGGTGACCCTGAGGGCGCGCTCCGGACCGTTCTCGATACGGCGCCGTTGGGCGGCGATGACCGCGCTAAGGAGGTGCATCTTGCTACTGTTATCGATGTTCTGCAGGGGATTCGTCAGGGCGAGATGACTCGTATCTTGGAGGGTGCGTGCAGCGGGGATGGAGGCGCTGAGCGTGCTGATTGTTTGATGAAGTACCTGTATGTGGACCGTTCTTGCAATTACCCCGTGGAGAGATATCCCTGGGCAGTTTGTCTAGAGCGGGGATTCTTGTGTCCTGAGTGAGTGAGTGCTAATTTTTGTTCTGGTTATAGGTACAAGGGTATGTCCTCGTCTGCTCCTGGTAGTGGTGCCCAGTCCCCTCGGAAGAACGTTTCACCTCAGGACACTGGGTTCTCGCAGATCCAAGCTCGTAACTTGGGTGAAGGGGGTGGTGGTCAGCAGATGAGTGTTTTGCTTAGCTGGCACGAGAAGTTGGTCGAGTTGGCTGGTACTGGGTCGATTGTTCGGGTCATGACGGACCGCAGGACGGTTTGAGAGAGAACAGCATTTGATGGAGGTTTTTTATGATTTACTATTTCTGTTCTTGTCTTCCTGATAGAGGGTTGGTTTGCATTCCACACATCTCTGTGGAAGATATCCCTCCAGTGTCGCTTTAAGCGTAGTTTTACATTGATATATTGTGACAATATGTTGAGCTTTTCCGCTCCCGTTTTGATCATCTATTTCTCAATACGGTTGCTTCATGGCCTGTCGAACTCCCCACCACCCAGGATATCCTTGAGGTTAACATCACCACTGCCGCGCTGCAATGGCTGCGCCTGGTTCTTACCCTCCTTCCATCCGATCATATAGATCAGTCGGAACGTAGCCGGGATACCAGGCGCATCGTCTTCCTTATGCAAAGAGCGATAGATAGCCTCGTTAGCCAACAAAACATCCCGCGACAGCGGTGCCGAGTCCCGATTCATAATCGCATTACTCTCACCCATGGCCTGCAAGTCCTGCATCAGAGCAAAGGTATCAGGGAACTCAACAACAATATCCTCAACATCAACAGTAAGCATCTTAAACCCAGCCCGGTTCAACAAACTCCCAACATCCTTGACATCAGCCAGCGGCGACACATGCGGACTGACACCACCGCGTCGCTCCATATCAGCCAACTGCAACGATCCGCGCAGCTCGTACAACGTATCACCACCAAACATAGCAGCGATGAACGGCGCATCGGGCTTCAGTATCGTGTTCACCTGCTCCAGCAGCGCAGGCAGGTCATTAATCCAATGAATGGACAGCGATGACAGCACGGCGTCGAAGCTATTCGGCTCGTACGGCAGCGTCTCAAGGTCCGGGATTATATCCCGCTGGATTTCGATCTCCTTGTTGAATGGTAGATCCTCGTCGCGGTGTAGCAGGGCCCGCGATGTCTCCACGCAGGTCAGTTTCGAGATCTTGTCTGCTAGTGGCGGGGAAACCGTTCCTTCCGGCGTGGTTATGTCGAGGTTGGGGGTTGTGAGAGCTTTGGCGATGTTGCAGCTGTTCGCGCCTAGGTCGAGAACGTGTGGGAAATTGCGCTTGATGTCCTGTTTGTGGAACATGAAGCTCTTGTCAGTGCGTGTGCTCTTTTTCTTTTCGGCTCGCGCGCGCGCTCTTCTCTGCCCTTGCTGCGGTGGGTTTGCTCACCAGTAATCGCTCGCATAACCGCATTGCCACTTCATCTTTCAAGTAGTCGACTTTTCGGCTTTCCTCGACATTCCGGGCTGCGCGGTCTTTCTGGAGATGCTTGGTTTTCCGGTTGAAGACTTCCAGCATGGGGTTGCCGGGTGTCTGGTTCGCATATGTGCGGAGAGAGATTGTCGGGGCGATACAACGCCTTGAAAGGCTGGATCGAAATGTGTAGGATAGCATTGTAGGTGTAATGAGTACTGTGGTCTGTGGTGTTGTGAAGGCTCTAGGCCATTATGCGTTGCGGAGGGAGATGCGAGGTCGAGCTTAAATTTTGTTCTGACGTCGATTGTTGATGCGGCACCTCCGCTCTCTCTCCGCGGACCGTCGACTCTCTGGCAATTGGTGTTTGGTGTTTTCTCCGATCGCGAAACTCTCCATTGTTGCATTGTACATACTTTGCATAGTACCTTGAGTGCGATTAGGTCCATTGCGACCGCTGCTGTGGTGAGTCCTGGCGCGCCAATATCTTCCTTACCTCCCTGGTCTCTAACATCGCGCAATAGGTTTAGCTTAGACGACTAAGCTATCCTATCTACGAGACGGAAAGGTCTCTCAGCTGCTCGAGCTTTGTACCCCGATCCCTTTACCATCGTTCACCCCCTATCCCGCTATCGACCCCGCGGACCCGAAGCATGATTTGACCGACGTGCGCGCCTGAACAGCAATCACATATCATTTTGCTCGCCAGTATCGCTACACATCAAGATGTCACGCCCATTTCCTTACACCTACATATCTTGTCCCTGCGCCGACACCCCGGTTCCCGACCCAGCTAGGAAGCGAAGATCGAGGGAGTCGCCGCAGAAATCACCACAGAAACCACCACCTGAGCGGGCGAATCTTTCAGCGGAAGATAGGAAAGAACCTACAGATAGTGAACAACACGAAGAGGATGAGGAGGAAGAGCAGACCTTTGACCCTCGCTCTCCGCGGTCCAATTTCTCACTGTATCCGCCTGAACAGCTTCTCTACTGTGAGGAGTGCCACCAGATCAAGTGTCCTCGATGTATTACAGAGGAAATCGTGAGCTGGTTCTGTCCAAGCTGCTTGTTTGAAACGCCCAGTAGCATGGTGCGGAGTGATGGCAATCGGTATGTACTACGGAAAGCACCCTCCCATGCGAGTATTTACTAACGCGCATGGCTCCAGGTGTGGGCGAAACTGCTTCAATTGTCCTGTCTGTACGGCCCCATTAGCTGTCAGTACAATTGAAAATGCCACTGGGAATGGAGCCCAACAGGGTCCGTGGGTGCTATCCTGTGGGTATTGTCTTTGGACAACACTAGATATCGGTATCAAGTTCGACAAGCCGACAAACATCCGCAGCCAGCTGCAGAAAATGACCGACTCTACTGCTCAACCTACGCTTGATAGGTCGAGACAAGCTTCTCGCACCTTTGGAGATCTGAAATCCCCACTTTCCACCTTTGCCTCTATCGATGAACAATCGGCTGCACGCGAGCAAGACGGAGAGCAATCTGCATCTCAAGAACCAGAAGCACCTCCCATGGGTACAGATGCCCGATTTGCAGCCTTGAAATCCTTCTACCGTGCTCAAATCGCCGAAACATCAGCCTCGCCCAACGACCCTCTCAGCACAGACTTTGGGTTCTCTTCACCTGGTGCCCTCAACCGGCTGATGTCTCTTTATGCATCATCTTCACGTCTAAGCGGTCTCTATGGCGGAAGCAAGAAACCCAAATCCAAGCCGCCAGTCATGCGCGAGGCCATAACAGCAAGCGAGGGGCTCCAGCTCGCCCCAGAAAACGGAGACGAAGATCTAATCAAGCGAATCACCTCCCCAAGCTGCGGCTGGGATGGGATGGCATCAACAGCGCAGCGCGCAGCCCAATCCCCAGATGCCCGCTTCACAGATGATCTCCTCCCCCTCCCCGTCCTCCTCCGCACCAAGCGAGCCAAGCGCTGCAAGTCCTGCAAACATATCCTTGTAAAACCAGAGACAAAACCACAGTCAACTCGCTTCCGCATCCGCCTCATCGCTCTAAGCTACATCCCCCTCCCAACCCTCCGCCCCCTGGCTCTCTCAACATCCTCCACCCTCCCAACCATAGCCCCAACCCCAGACCTCAACTCCCTCCCACCCCTCCGCCCCGTGCATGTCCTCCTCACTCTGAAAAACCACATGTTCGACCCCGTCCGCATAACCCTCGCCACACCCCCGGTCACACCAGGCAACGTCGCAACAAAAGTCACCGTCCTCTCGCCCCAATTCGAGATCGGCGCCAACAGCGACGTCTGGGACGAGGCGTTACAAGGTGCCTCAGCCCCGCTGAAGGGTGACGCCACTATGTCCGGTATGCGCGGCGTACCTGAGGCAGGCAAGGTATGGGATAAAGGTCGGAATTGGACGACGGTTGTGTTGGAAGTTGTGCCTGGTACTTTGCCTGGTAGTAGTGCTGAAGGTGGGGATGGGAATGGAGAGGGTGATGAGGGTATTTTGGCTGTTGCGGGTCAGAATGCTGATGAGGATGTTTTGGAGATTCCGGTATTTGTGAGGATGGATTGGGATGCTGATGCGCAGCTTGAGCAGGGAAATATTGGGAAGGGGTCTAAGCCTGATGATAAGGTTACTAGGGAATTGGCTTATTGGATGGTGCTTGGTGTAGGTAGGATTCAGCCTTCGTTGTAGAAAGATCAATGTGTTTGGAGGATTGGGATGTAGATAGTTTTGCTTGCGTTTTATACTTCCATACCCTGAGTGTACTTCGTTTCCCTGAGATATATATATTCGCTTTTTGACTGAAATAAGCATTGGTATGAGCAGTATGAGCCACGTAGATATACATGCGAGAATATATGGCATGTAGCTCAGATATATCATGTTAATCTAAGACCTAAGTTGATACACCCTACATCAGGTGCTGTTCTACAGGTAGATAGATCGGGCTCAGAGATAAACCTGCTACATCTAGGAAACACAGTGAAGGTTGAATTGTTGAATTGGAATATCGATCACATATCCGATTCCATCCTCATTAAAGAGAAACACAGCCCGGAAAGACCTCAGCTCCATCACCTCGCCCAGAAAACCAGGAAACAGAGGGACAAACACCAGAAAAACCTGGGGAGGACCAACCAAAACCAGCGAGTTATGAAAAAAGAGAAAAAACCGTCAATGCATTTTTATGGAGTCATCTCTTTTGGAACCCATAATGCCTATGAATCTAGCAACAATTCAAAACTAGAGAACACAGGGCATTAATTCCCCACGCATCGAAACCGAGCACATTCACAAATCACATTCAAGCCCCATCCCAAAGTTAAAACGAAGTGGCACAAATCCTGAGTTACATTTAGAACTCAGCACCGCTCTGGGGGAACTCGAACGCAACAGCGCGGCCAGTTAGGCGACGGTAGACCTCGCCGTAGGCATCGAGGCGGTGGTCAACACCACCACGCTCCTTCTCGTCAAGGATGACCTTGAGGGTCTTGGAGCCGTCCTCCTTGGTGCGGATGCGCTTGCCGACAATCTCGACGGGGTAGACAAGGTCGGAGAGGATGGCGTCGTGGACAGCGGTCAGAGTGCGGGAGCGGGGACGCTTCTGGGTCTGAGTGGTGCGCGAGGTGACGGAGCGCTTGGGGCGGGGCAGGATGCGGCGCTGGGCCACGAAGAGGACGTGGCGGTCGGAGAACTTCTTCTCCAGCTCGCGGGTCAGACTGAAGGGCGGGGGATTAGTATCTGTGTGGTTTTTGTGTCGATGGGCCGGGGCTTGGTGCTTACCGCTGCTGGATCTTGTGGAAGTTACCGAGGAGGGGAACGGGGACGAAGACAATGATGGCCTTCTTGCCGTGGCCGACCTCAACCTGTGGTGGAAAAAGTGTCAGAGATTGTCCTTGAACTGTCTTGCATGCAAAATCGTATCCCTCCTGAAACGGCGTCCTTGTGCGAAAATTTTATCTTCTCTTTCGTATTCCTTCGTTGCTGGTATCTTCGCCTTATGTTGATAGGTATTTTTTTTGCGTTGGGGGACGTGAATTGACACAATCCACAAATCCAACCTTGACCCCGGAGTTTATTGAAATCCTTCCAAAATTCGCGGGACGCCATTCCAGAACACACAATTCACATGGCGGAATCACTATCGAACACCAATTCTTACCTCACGGGCAGAGACGAACTGCAGGGGGCGAAGGGTGGCCTTCAGGTCCTGTGTGTTGCTCTCGAGGTCGAAGAGAGCGCCGGCGATCGCGGTCTCCAGCTCGGAGGGGTTCTGCCGGGACGGCGAGTTGGAGGCGATCTTGTTGATGGCAGCCATTATTGCGAGCGACGGGGTGCTGCGGGAAGTGCTGGTGGTGATGTCGACGGAGGGGAGGTTCGCAGATTGAATCGACTGGGAATTTGCTGTGGGATCGGCGCATTCGCTTAGGGCGCGCTATTTCCTAATGCGGCTTAGTGCGGCCGTCTTAGGGCTCTCTTCTGATTGGTGGGTTGTGGATTTGATAGGACCCACTCTCTTCGGCTCTAACCTTTCTATTTCGACTCTTATACATCTAGGTGTGTTACTTGTAGGAATGTCATTCGAATTTACATCTAATCACTTGGGGAATAACAGTAGACTATAAGAGCACAAGTCTTAACAAGAGAAAAAGCAGGGACGCCTGTATCCATGGGAAATAATTGCAAATCTCTTCAGACCCAAATCAGCAAGCACAACCTTCATTGGCCTTTGCAACGTTCCGATCACCCAGGTTAACTCGAGCATCTTCCGCAGACCGACCCAGCGAAGTCTGGCCAGTGCCCGCGCCGGTGCCCCGACCAGTCTTCAGACTGCTCTCTGGGATAGTGTTGGCAATAGCCGTGAAGACGTCCACTACGTTAGTACCGGTCTTCGCACTAGTCTCGAAGAACAAGAGTCCTTCCTCCTCAGCATAGCTACCAGCCTCCCGTGTTGACACCTTGCGAGCATCACCAGACACAGCATCCTGTGGCTCATCTTCCTCAGCGGCTCCCTCCTCACCATTCTGTTCAGCCGACTCGGACTCGGCCTCGGCAGCGACAGCGGTCTCAGAAACCTCGCCGCCATCGTTGGTCAAGTCCAGCTTGTTACCGACAAGGGCGATGA